TCTCCTGATGTGCCAGACACATGCACTAAGTGTTTGGAAGGAAAGGCTACTTTATATCACTGTATATGGGATTACCCAAATAAAAGAAAATATTGGAAGGAAATTGTTCTGACTTTATCTGAGATCAGTGGAGTGAAGATACCTCACCTGGCAGAAATGTGAAATTTGGCAAAAATGTGTATTTGGTATATATCCAAAAACGTTATTGTTAATCCTAACGAGTCAACTTTAATTGATTTTGGACTCCTGCAGGCGAGGAGGATGATAGCTCTGTCCTGGAGAAACATGGATGTGCCCTCGATACATATGTGGATAAAGGAGATGGGATCTTGTATTGTGTTGGAAAGGCTGACTTACATAACCAGGGGAAGGCTGCAGAGTTTGAGACTGTATGGAATCCTTTAATAGAGTTTCTCAGACGTCAAAGTGCTCAAACAACTTAAAACTGCTGCATTGATACATGTTGTCGAGTGTTTGTGTTTCATTTACTTCATTCAGTATGAAGTATGTTAAATGTTTTGTAGAAGTTGGGACTGTTCATTTTATGGATGTTATTATTTTGAATATTGTCTCTTTGTGCAAGTTAAATATCTATAAAACTCATAAAAAATATTGTTGAATTATTTTCGGGATGTTTTCAGAGAGGATCCCGAAACATTTCTTTGTATCTTTCTACATACTATATCATTGTTGTCCTTACCTTATGTTTGTCTTTCCCTGGGCTGTTTTTACAGGGCTTGCTGTCCCTCTTTCTGGTCCTCCCAAACCCCAGTTGGTCCAGGAGGATGGCCATTTTCTTCAGTCTTGTTCTGCCACAGATTACTGTCTGTAAAGCTGACTGAACTGAACAGATGCTGTGTCTTCTGATATTACTGGGGCTTGTTCAGGCAGTAGTCTGACTGTGGAGGAGCTTCTTACCAAGCTGTTTCTGAGGTTTTGCTTGTGGTCACCTTTGTGAAAGCTAAAGCTCTGATGAGAACAGCAGCTCCTCGCCGGGTGTGGTGGCGTGCTCCTGTAATCTCAGTTACTGGGAGGCTGAGGCTGGAGGACTGTTTGAGCTCAGGAGCTCTGAGCTGCAGTGGACTATGCTGATCGGGTGTCCTCACTAAGGTCGGTATGGATATGGTGCTCCTGGGGGAGCCCGGGACCACCAGGTCTTCTAAGGAGGGGTGCACCGGCCCAGGTCTGAAACGGAGCAGGTCAAAGCCCCCCTGCTGCTCAGTAGTGGGATCACACCTGAGAATAGACACTGTGGAGCAGCCTGAGTAATACAGCAGGACCCAGTCTTTTTACACTCTTTCTCACCCCAAACTGATGATTCATTGATTAGTTTCAAACCATCGTTTTCATTAAGCGTTATTCAAACAGTAACCTGAACAAGCGTTGTTAGCAGGATTCAAACCTGTGTGGGGAAACTCCAAACTGAACTGAAAGAAGGGGATGATGTGGACTTGTGGGCCTTTTCATTTCTAGAACGATCTGTTTTTGGAATCTAGGAATGATCTTTACCTTCAGTCTGTGTTTTCTCTGCAGATGAAGAACCAAATATGAGTTTAATGTAGGGAGGACTTAAGCTGTGTCAGGATGGCTGAGCAGTCCAAAGTGCTGCTATGAGGTTGCTGCCTCAAATTAAGCTGTGTGCTCAAGTCCTACTCCTGACAGCCAGTGTTGTAGAGCTGCTGTTCTATTTTAGGCCTCAAATGTACCTCACTCTCTTTTTACAGTGTTTGAAATTCCAGAACTGATTGTTGATGCTGGGAAGGTGAGTTGGAGGTTTCAAGTTTTCTAGAACCTTAATAAAGACTTAGGAAGCACTCAATTGGACACTTTTATCCAGCATGTGCTTTTCAAACTCAGTGAAAACTGCTAAGCCCCAAAACGCAGTCCAAAGCAGAGTGGCACAGAAGAAGTGTGCTGGGCCCATAACCCAGAGGTCCACATCTCACCATGCCAGCTGCTGACCAGCAGAGCTAGCTTGATGCCGGTTCTAACCCAGACCTGTCTGATACGTGGACACGGGTAGAATGAACCACAGGATATTCCACTGAGTAGAAATGCATGTTGAACCTGTGGACAATCTGGACATAGATCATCAGATCATTTATTCATCCCAAAGGGATTTTAGAAAGCACGTAGTATCTCATAACAGTGAGGAAAAAATAAAAATCAGTGTATTCAGGTCTAAGACGTCATCTCTTCCTTAAGGAGTTGTAGAGCTTCAAATAGGGGTTCATCAATCACAGACACATTCACCTCCTAAAAAAAAACTATGTCTTTGGAGAATGTGGGCATTGATCCCACTACCTCTCACATGCTAAGCAAGCGCTTTACCATTTGAGCTAATTCCCCTTAATGACAAGGCTTTGGACAGTAAAATCCAGCTTTCCCATCAGAATGTATGACCAGTCCAGGGAGCTGTGTTAAAGTCACAGTCTCTTCTGGATGTGTGGCTTCAAATTCCACTTCTGATCGTTTGGGATACACACATTTTTCTCACCCTGTACATCTCTCTGTCACTTCCAATTGTTCTATTTTACAGAACAAACAATGATATTGTGGTAATTTTGCTCTAGAGGATGAGGATCCACAGCTCTTCAAGTGAAAGGGACTTGCAGAAAGTTGATGGAGTCCTTTTTTTGTGTGAACATTGCATAACCTCCCATGACACCATGGTCTGATAGGTCTTTCACTACATTACAGATCAGAGCCAGAACATTAAAAAAGGCCAGAGACTCCTATTCAGTTTAAAATGACCTGCTATTACCTGAGAGTGAACAAACATGATGCTAACTAACGTCATGCTTGTCAGAAGTACACAAATATAATTGACATGAACTTGCTGCTGAATCCCAGAGTGAGCTCAAACCATCAACCTTTTGGTTAACAGCCGAACGCTGTTATAATGAATAAATTACACATCTATACTTGGATCATCTGTCTTGTTTTTTCTCAGGCTTTAAATAAAAAAATGGGGCTAACAAATGGTGCTGGGACCCCGATTGGCAGACTCTGAAGCTGTATCTGATTGGAGACCACCGGAATCCATCAGAGGAAACTCTTATTCAGACGATTACTGGCCAGAATTTAAAAGGTAAGCAGAAAACCTTTTTCACTATGTTTTCAAGAACATCTCCATGCTCATGAAGTAACAAGGAGAATGCAGGATGCGTTTGTCTTTCATGTTGACCAGCTGCTTTTCCCAGGCCTTCTGACATCCAGATGTCCTATGGAGTGAATGACACCGTTCTTTTTGTTTTTTCGTGTTGCTTTATCTGGTGAGCAGTAAAGACAGTTGTGACTGTAACCTTGTTTATGTTTTATTTCTGTATGATTAACTATTTATTTTAATCAAAGCAGTTCAGTAGTATGGCACATATAACTAAGATAATAAAAGTAACACTGGAGAAATAAAATGAAAATATCATTACAGATTATAGCGTCATTTTAAGAACTAAATATTGGACTAAAATTAGCTATTAAGTGTGAACAGTGTGAACAAACTTCACGACATTCATTGTTAATTTTTACACTGAATTGAGTAGATTTAACTCAGAGAATTTGACACTAGTCATACAGTCAATTTTACTTATTTTTGATTGGGATCACGTGCCATCTAAAATGGAGTTAATTTCAACTCTATAAGAGTTAAATTTAGTTTTTTACTGTATATTGATCATTTCTAGCATTTCAATGTTTGGGCTCCATTGCTCTGAAAAAGGTTTTTGTACCTATAAAATTAAAGGGGACCACAGCTGAAGCTTTAAGTTAAATCCCAAGCTTCTCTTTTCATACAGACATGTATGTACAGTAGGCTAACGCTCAGGAGTTTTTCTAGCTAGGCTATATGTAAGCTATCAGTGATGCTTAGATTTGAATAGGGTAGACAATATTCTACTATATTCTACTCTACTACTCTACTATGTTGTTGTTAAATCTTGGTTAACTATAACATACAGTAGCCGGACGGCAGCTCACATTACCGCAGCGTCTACATCCTATGAGCAGCACTTGTTAACGACAGGTCAACATCGACTAGTGGAGCAAGCAGTAAAGTAGCATTAAATAAAGTTACTCGAATAATTATATGTTGTCCGCGGTTAAGGATTTATTTCAACCAAGTCAGCATCACCTAGAGGTAGGCTATAGTTTTGGTGAATTTTATTTTGTTTGTGTCAACTCTTAATGAAGTGTGTTTAACAATGAGATAATGGAATTAAGCTAGTTCAGTTAAAAAAACACTTGAATCCTCTTGTCTTGAAGGGTTGATTTTCCATTTAAAATTTGTTGTGAAAATCTTGACTTTCTAAACTGTTTATACATTTTGTTTATTTCTCCTTCAATGTGTGCTTCACATATTCTAACGTTAGCTATCCCAACTCTGTGATTTGTCAAACTGTTTTGCACCAGCTGTGGCTTTTCTTTCATAATCTTAACATTGTACCTCAGTTAAGGTTAAACATTTCAGTGTTGAGACTGATACGGTGGAACCAAAAAGCAGCCAAAAAATGTCTTCATTCTTGACATATTTTACTGTTTTACCACAAAAAAAGGGGTCCACCTGACACATATGGATGCACAAGATTTCAACCAGAGCTCCCCTCAGAAGAAACAAATGAGACTATGGAGCAGCACCGCCAGAGACGGGTGGAGATATACAGACATGAGGGTGCAGGTGGAGCAGAAAGAGCCCAGGTTCAAAAACTAATGGAGCTCTGAAGATCTGAAAAGCAAATGGCCTTTTCTTTTCATGCCAAGGTGTATATATGCACATGTTGAGTTGCTTACAGACATCGACGTGCTTCGTAGCTTGGAACTTGGTATGGAAGAATGTGGAAGGGCCATCACTCAATACTTCATGGGAAAACCTACTAACAAAGCTGTGAAGGATGTCCTCTCTAAAGGTGAAGATAGTGAACTGGCACTTTGTGTTGTTCAGCTGCTCATGGCACACTTTGGAGAGGACCTAACTGGGCTGATCCTTCTTGCAGATGTAAGTTATCTTTTTTCTTTCTCTGTTTTATAATTATTTACCTTTTTGTAATTTCTTTTGTCTTAAAAATCTTGTATTTGTTCCCTACAGGTGTCTGCCACTACAGTGGACGTTGAGACAACTCGCAGTCTTCCCAACAAGTCCTCGCCTGATACTTCATGGTGTACATTTCATTTAGATTGCTGGTCATCTTGAGTTTTCATGTTGCCATGACTTGAAGTTTCAGGTGTAACAGGTTGGAGGATCACTCTTGAGGGCCGTGTAATCTCTGAGGGCATCACACCCACATTTGTAACGGGACTTGCTGCTGTGTTTGCAATCTACTACATATTCAGCCTTCAGTAGAAAGATGAGGCAGCCAGTATTTTGGAATTCATTCAGAGGTAAAAACTCCTTTATTCCTTGTCATCATTAAAAGTATTTTGAAACCACAACACGCACGCACACACGCATGCACACACACACGCACACACAAATTATATCAAACATAAGGGGACAATAAAAGTGGTCATTATGTCATCCATAGTGCTCACGTTGAATACACCAGAGACTGAAAATGTGGCCGATGCAGACGATGTGAGTGACACTTCCAGTTCCACTTCAAAAACTTTGACTTCACAGTCATCCTCTGGTTCTGCAGAATACCAGTCAGATGGCACATCATCAATGTCATCACACTGAAAGAGCATTGTGGCCAAGTGAAGTTTAGATTCCGCTTGTTTCAGTTGCAGCAGAGACAGTACTCAGGAATGTGAAAGAACAGTTTTGAAAGATGGCACTGTCCTCAACAACACCCGGGAATAATGGAGATGCTGGCAGATTACATGTACAGTTACACTTCCTATCCCACAGGCCTTCAGTTGCACAGATTGCAGAAGCCTTGGTCCAAAAACACCCATGTCTAAAGGAACCTGGAAGTCACAACGGGTGGATTGGATGGATGTACTGCTTAAAATACAAAATGGGAAATTATAGGTCCAAGTTAAGAAAATCTTGGATTTCCTGAAGTCACTTGCAATTCTCTTAAAAATAAGCGTCCTGGAGAGAGAAAACCAGCCCAAAATGTTTTAAAAAAGGATGCAAAGGGGAAGTGATGAATCTTCCACATTATCCCTCAGGAGAAAGCAGTGAACAACAAGAGCAACAACAACTCAAAATCCTATCTGAATTAAAGAAGAGAGAGAGGACGACAGTCAATGCATTGATGTCCAACACTTTTGCTGATAAAAGACAGGATGTCATCAGTCTGCAACTGAGCATCAAAGAGATCAAGGAAAGGTGGCCTGCCCTGTTTGACGTGCCACAGGTGAGAAATGAAATACAGTTTACCACAAATGCACCTTACTTGGGCAGCTTGTTTAAATCTAAGTATGTAAATTGGGCCCTATCCCTGTTTGTTTTTTCTTCTTTTTTCAGATCAACGCTGAGTTCCATCGAATTGTCACTGTAAATCTTGAGGCCAAATTCATGTTCATGTTGGACCACTACACCCCTAAACTGCTTGGTATCTTTCAAGCCAAGAAAGGTGCAGCTGGACAGAGGCATCGTGCAGAGATGAATATTCGACTCCAGGTATTTTAGTTTTCCCCACCTTTGTTGTCACCACTGTTTTTTTAACTATCTCTGTACTCTTGCATTCAATGTGACAAGTATGATACAGATCCTTATGTGTGGTTGAATGGTTCGTCGATCTGTTGGTAATGCCTCGGGGCTCCAGTAGGGGGCTCGCGCACCTCTTCCTCATTCAATACAGACGAGTGAAGAAGAGCCGCGTGTGTTTTTCCTCATCCTTCTCCTGCTACTATTCCCTTTTTAAGGTAATTACCGTGTGCAAAGCAGCATTGTAAATTTATGAACACGTGTTGATAACATTTTTCTTCATGTTACTCGGGCTTTAACTTAATGGAAAAGACGTTTTGTTGAATTTATTTGTTGTTTTGTTTATTGCTAACTCTCGTGTAAGCTAGCAGCGGGAGTGTGAATGTTGACATTCGTGTTTAAGCTTGTTCCTGTTTCATATATATATGTATATATAAATATATTTGTGTGTAGTTCATGTCATAATGACGAAAATGAATGAAGTCAAGTTAAAAATACATTTAATTTCTTAGCTTGTTGAAAGTATAATTGACATGTTGTGTTTATTCAGTCAAAACGATAATTTAGATAATTTAGAACATGTTTGTGGTCCTAAAGCTGGGTGTGCGTATCTATACATTTGCCTGTTGTTTGTATGCATTGTTTAAAATAAGGATTCAATACAGACGAGTGAAGGAAGTGCCGCGTGTGTGTTTTCCTCATCCTTCTCCCGCTACTATTCCCTTTTTAAAGGCACAACATCAACACATGATCATGCTGTCTTTATTCGACCACAGTGTTTCTCAATCAGCTACATAGATCATTTTAGTAAATCGTACATGACGTACGCTGATATTAACACCACAATCTACACCAGATCCTGCGCGAGTTTGATAAATGAGGGCCAATGTGAGTGTATTCTGAGTGGACTTTTAAAAAATATATCGCATGACAAACATGACTTCAAGATTAAAGTGACTCCAGATAAGGACTGTATACCATGATGAATTTTCGTAAAAATTGCAATAATTTACCAACTGCTTCATTAAATTGTTTCATTTTGGCAGTGTAGTCAAGTCTATTATATTTGAAGTGAAACAGCCTAATTGAGCACTGAGAGTGCCTGCTGTATCTTGCCAGCTGTTAATGATTTTTTTCCCTTCTTAACAGAGTGGAATTCCCATTAATAAAACTATGATGTCTAGTTGATCACCTGGGAGAAGATCTGAGTGCCTTAATCAAGGGGTTTGAGGTGAGTGCAATAAAAAGAAATGGCTTTCACTGTTCTCCGTACAGTAATAAAGGAAACACACAGTCAGCTGCGCTTTGTCGTTTTGTGTCTATTGGAAATACTGCAACATTGCTCTGGTTGCTTATATCAAATCAAATTGGCAAAACCTACAGTAATTCACCAAATTCTATGTAAATCTAAAATAATTCCATTCAATTCAAATCTGTTTATTTATATGGTGCCATTTTACCACGCTTCAAATCAATACTCTGTAATACTCTGCTTAGTGGAAGACAATACTCTAAATGCAATGTCCGATACACCGAGTGTGACCCATTTATTTTAACCTTAGCACAGGTAAAACATATTTCAGTCATTTTAGTAGTTTCTGACTGTTGGTTTAAAATGGCCACACTGACAGGGTCAAAAAAACATTTGCTTCTAGGGGTGAGAATCTTTGGGCACCGCACAATTCGATTATGATTAAAGGGCTACAATTCGATTATAAAATGATTATTGATGCATCTTTAATTTATTCATATTGATGCAGCTCTGATGCGCTCCCGATAGCATCCCGGAGAAGACACGCACCGTGCTTCAGTTCTGCATTAAAAAACACTCTGTATAACTTTATTTATTGACGTTCAATCTCAAATGTATTTTTTTCAGCTCAGCCGGTGTCTCCGCCTCTCCAAAACAAACTAGTTCTGCTGCGTCGCCCCCTATTGGTCGACCCAGTCACGTCATTCCTCGTTTGTTGCTAGGCTGGGTCAAAGTCAAAGATGTCTGCCAGGAGGCCTTCACAACCCAAGTCGAGTACGCTGTTGCTTTGACCAATCAGATTTTAAGTAGAAGGCCTTAGGCAACGTCACTGTATTCAGTCCCTCTGATTGGATAGTCAGATAGCGTATCAGCCAACTTTATCAAACTATATATAGACTATGTAGAAATATAGTCGCTATTTTATGATTTGGTGTCTGATTTACTGATTTGGTGTGCGATATACTATCAAGGCCATTTTCGAAACGGACTTTTCAAGAAAAGTGAGTCAATTTTAGCTATTTTCATAAATAATATTCCGAGTTTATGAGGATTTTATTGACGTTTTTTAGTTTTTGTGTTTTTTTTGGGACTTGATTAATGTTGGCGTGTTATTATTAGCCATTAGCCGCAGCTAACAATTCCAGGCTAACGTCCTGTTAATGATCACAAACAATGTAAATAAATAAATAAATCAGAGAGAAGGGGCGCAGCGTCGGCAGGTCAACCTAGCGGAGGGTGGCGGGGGTGGTATCGATTCTTTTGAAAATGAGTATCATATCCATTAAACAGCGTTTTAGTATCCATACTCTTTGGAGTATCGATAATTTTGACAACCTTTATATTAACTTATATTTTTCGTCTCTTTACAGAATGTCTATAAGGGAGGTCCTACATGAAAAGGTCCATGGACCATATTACAGGCCCCCCCCACTAAAAATACACATAATGGCGACCAGGGAGCAGACGCGCGTCCTCTCATGGGACTTTGGGGAAACGACGGCCACCCCAAAAACTGTAAAAAATAACAAAGTCTTGGCCATCAATGATGGCAAAGTCCATATTTCTATTTATGAAGGAATTGCAATCCAATTAAGTAAATATCAGAGAAAACCTTCCCAAATCAGCTGTAATATCAGGAATCGCTTTCAAGAGACAGCTGAGCTTCTACGTGGTTCATTTCAGGAACAAAAAGAGGTCGTTTGCCATGTTGTCCTTAATTATTTTTCTTTTTAGATGTCTGCTGTCAAAAAATGGCGGTGGGGAGGGAGTAGGTCCCCAAAAGGACAGTGCGCCTTCAGGAGGTAAAGAGAGCTACTTGGATTGATTTCTTACCAGTACTGCGTCACATGTCTAAGTAGAACTGTTTGTGTGAACAGGGTAAGGACCAAACAGAGGGAGGCAGCCGTCCACAAGGTGGACCTAGGGTCCACAGCGTTCACTGCAGTTGAGGTAAGCAAAGTAGGCCATAGACTAGCTTTTCTATCATGTCATCCCGTTCCAGTATTATGGGTAACAAAATCTGTTTATATTGTCTTAAAGTTTATTATACCAGCAAGCTTACTTTCAGTTTCCACACGCAGAAATCCTGCAGTATTTAAACAATTCAAGCGTGAAGTTTGCACTAACTTTCCATCCGCCATATGCAAATGATGTGAACTGTTCACATCCCGGATAAAGTTCTGACCAATCAGCGCATGGCGATTACTACACGTGAGGAGGCTTGTATGTAAACAAAGATGGATGCGTCCTGTAAGCGGCAGCGTGGATCGCATGATAAAGATAAAAATCCTGTTTGCTGCATGCACATATTAGATAATTGTATCGAAAATACCTGTGATATAACTAGAGCAAGATGGGACACCTTCAGAAAGATCGCAAAAGAGTGGATATCACTGAAAGGGAGAGAGTGCAATGCCGTGTTGTCGATCGTACACACGTTTGATAAGGAGTATAATGAACTGGAAACGCTGCCCTACTATCATCCCTCCTGTTACAAACGGTTTACAGACAAACGGCAAATGTTCTACGCCAAGAAAAGACAGCAACAAACACAACAATCAGCTAGTAGCGGTGAGTACATTCATATTATTATTGAGATCTTGTGTAGCCTTCATAAAGCCGAACATATTACTTTTAGGTCATCAATTAAATTCAATTATCAACACAAGTCAGCTTAGCTACAGCAAACAGAGACAAATTACAAAATTAAATGAAATAAAGTTATACAATTAGGGATTTGAAGGCAGATTTGAATATAATAATAGATTATATCAGATTAAATGAATCAATAATTCTTGCATTTTTTGTGCCATCCTCATCATAATGATCATGGACCAGATTATTTTCTGATTGGCCTAAAAAGGCTGTAGGCATGACAAGTATATGTTGTTAGATTTTTTAACCATTGTCAAAATCATTAGCCTAATGTCACAAAAATATAAAGAGAAAAAGTGTAGCAAACACTACATAGGCCCTACAGTGAATGTTGTTGTTTTGCCATTGATCTTACTATGAAGAAGAGCATGGATCATAATGGCAAACAGTTTGTTCTTGTTCGATAGTCTAGTACATCTTCGGTTAGTGAATGATTTAACCTATGAAAATGATTTCTGAAAGCTATTCATTATTCCATATTTATATAAATTTTTACCGGGTATTACTGTTTTATTTCCAGATAGTGCTGGTCCTTCTCCTAAGAGATTGCATTCCAAAGGCTCTTAAGTTGCACACACTAAGGGTTAACTATCAAGCTGCCATTCATCGTCGTGCTCTGAAGCCAGTAATATCTGCACCGTCACCAGATGGCCACGGTTGGAACATGCACGAAAAACAGCTGTCTATCAATTGGATGACCAATGATCCTGCTCCTAAAGAGGTGCTTAAACTTATTAGCTTTAAGTGCAAAACAGGACAATGTGACACTAAACGATGTTCATGTAAATCTTCCAACCTTAAATGTACAGAGTTATGTGGGTGCAAGAACTGTCAAAATGTTACTGGAGAAGTGGAGATTGTGTCTAGTGATGATAGCGAAGATGATGATTGTACAATCTAGTCTGAGGGATAATTGAGACATTTTGCACCAACCAATAGACTTTCTGGTCATAATTGACATTGATAATGATGCCTTATTATACCTTGTAGATTTTGTAAATTTTTTCTTAATATCAAAATTCCTATGGATTGTGAAAATTGAAGTGTTTACCTTTATTGAGATAATTGCAGTTAA